ATAATAGCTCAAGGTTCTGTATTTATAGAGGTGTATGGTGCTTTCCTGGTAGGATTCAACTATCTGGGTATCCTTATCCGATAAAGTTCCATGAGAAAGCAGTGTTTGGATCCTACTGTGATTAGAAGATCAATTGTTAAGAGGGCTCTCTTGGGCTTAGGAGATGTGGTTTGAAGTATTCGTGTCAGATAAGAGTTCTTAGGGGGATAGACCTTCTCCTTAGTATGAGGAAGATGGTAGTTGAGGACCTCAAGGGGATTTCCCCGAGCTATTATTCTCGAGGACATCCTGCATCCTGTGACAGTTATCAAGGTCAGGCACAGGTATCCCGAGGAACCAATACATCCCGAGCACTAATGACCGGAAATCATAAGAAATGCCTTCGCTAATGGTCGGGGATGAAAGTGGTCGGGATACACAGGAAATGTCAGTATCACTGGCCCCCCTGCACCTATTCTCAAGCTTTTCTTGAGGATATAGTGCAAAATAAGCCAGAAGGCAAAGAGCTTGGGTGCGTAAGCTCGAGGGAGTTCTTGAAGACAGGTGTTCAGAGGGACTGACGTGGTACTAAGGTAAGCTCTAAATTAGAAAAGGCGGTAAAAACGATATGGGCTGGATGTAGGACACGTGGCCAGATCTGACGGTCGGGGTAGTGACTTTCGGGCTACCCTCTTCTGTTGCCTATAAATACCTTGTTCAATTTTCATTTTTCACTTTTCACTCTCAGTAAACTTCTTTTGCTAATCGTCGGGATCAGAACTTTGGTGGGTTTTTAGGCGTCGACTTTAAGGTAAGACATCCAGACCTTAAGTTATTCTTTAGATACTTTTTTGCCTAGGTCAGGATGTTTAGTAGTAGCAGTGAATCTTCTTCTCTTCCTTGAGGAATACCCCTGACGACAGGGAACGCTCGATCATACCCATGGCCGTGCCCATTAATGCACATGCTCGGGCACAAGGTATCCCGACTCCCCTTAAGTACTCGGACCTCCCTTGTAAATTTAAGGAGCATCTAGCGATATCGACGGCTAGGGAGCATGGGCTCATGCCTAAGTGTGATATTAGGACGCCAAGGGGTGAAGATAGGATGACTATTGCTCGGGATGGAAAGTTTGTAGTTTTTAGAGACTCGCTAAAGGGTGGATTTAGATGGCTCCTGCACCCTTTCTTTGTGGCTTTACTGGTTGAGCACAACATGAACCATGGTTAGCTCGTGCCAAATGGATGGAGGATGCTTACCTACTTTTTTATAGCATGTAGGTACTTAGGTATTAAATGGTCTTCGATTTGAAACAGCTGCCTCAATATACATGTTTTGCCTATCTTTCATCTCGAGGAGGTTTCAGGATACCGAGGATGCCAAGTTCATTAAAAGGATGGAAAGAAAAATGGTTTTATGTCATACCTCAAGATTCCGACTTTCCTTTTAGTCCTAGTTGGGTTTTGCCTGACACGGCCAGGTATTGTGAAGGGCAGGCCTATTTCAAGTCTTTAGAAAGGGATAGGGTGATGTTAGAGAACCTCAAGCCTCTTGTTTATGATATAGATGACATTTTAGGGGATGATATTCTCGATCTTGTGAATGTGAAAGGTGCAAAGGGTAGGGATCGTACTTTCGCCTTTTTCCCTCGTCAAACTGTCTTCGAGAATTATGCTCACGCTAATGACTTGGCTTTTCAGGGATGACTTTCGATCCTTCAGCTCTTCTACAGGCAGTGAACAAGAAGTCGATGGCCCCTTAAGTTCGAGCCCCAGGTCAGAAAAAGGGAAAAAAGGGGCCTCGAGATTCAGGGCCTGGGACTGTTAGGAGTGGTCCTGGCGAGACATCTACCTGAGGACAATCCCCAACCATTCACGAGCACGAAACTCCAATTGCCACTTCTCGTTACGTCCTCGGTCGAGGAGTACTCCCGAGCTTGTTGACCTCGAGGATGAGGTCCTTCCTGTGCCTTCTTTTCAAAATCGAGATCCTGATTGGTTTCCTTTGGTGTCGAGCATCATGGACAAGTATTGAAAGGACCTCGGCTTCGACGAGGGCATGAAAGCTTTTTAATCCCTTACGCTGAAGGTAAGCTCGCTCATTTTACTTAGCGTAATTTATGGATTTCTATGGCTTGAACGTTAAGCTTGGATTTTATATGTTGTAGACACTGAGTATTGCCCGAGATCTTTCTCTGAAAGAGAAAGATAAGGCCCAAAGAACTGCTGAGCTCAAGAATTCTGCTCGGGCACGCAAAAAAAGAATTGTTGATATGGAGGCTGAGCGCTTCCTTCTTCAGATGGAATGTGATGACGCCAAGAATGATCTATAGAAGGCTCGGGAAGAAGCTGGGATGGCCAAGGATGAGGCCGAGGAGTTAAAGCTCGAGATAGAGCATTTGAAGAAGGATTTTGAAGCTCGTCTGATCGAAGCTCGGGGTATCGCAATTGAAGACTTCAAAACATCTGAGGAATTCAATGGGCTGAAGGGAGAGTACGTCATGAGCTCGTACTTCCATGCTTTAAAAGAGGCTCCAGCATTTTTGCGCTCGAAGCCTGATGCAAAGCCAGAGGATTTGACGAACATCCCAAAGGTTGCTGAAGACCTCGAGCTTTCGGAGTCCAAGGAAGCCGCCGACGACCACAAGGTCGATATTGATGGTGAGGACGTGGGGAAAGAGCAGGGAAGCCTGGCCTCAGGAGAAGGAGCCGAGGACATAGACTAGTTTCTGCTTTCTTTTTGTTTTTGAATACTCTTGGCTCTTTACTTGTACTGAACGATTATTTTTACCAAGAATCAATGTATTCTTGCGCTTCTTATTATGTTATTTCGATTATGTTTTGCTCGAGCTTTAAGTTCGTTTGAGGACTAAACTAAATGATGTGACCTAGCTCGACTTTAAGAAAATTCATATGAAGTTTTAGACGAAGGTAATAGCTCGATCTAAGGGTGAGATATGGAACATTATCTCGAGGACTAATTGTAAGAACAATTGTGATTAATGCTCGATCTTAGGGTCATTCTTTAATATGGAACATATCTCGAGGACCAATAAAGAAAAACAACTGTAATTAATGCTCGACCTTAACCTTGGGTCATTCGAAAACTTTGATAAGTAGATCGAGCAAGGATCGGAAGTTCAAATTAAATAAGCTCGAGCTTAATACTTTGACGACCTTTGTGAGGTCAAGGGTGGTCTCGACCTACGATATGTGATTCCAAGCAAACTTCCCGAGGACAATCCAGGCTTTTTTCACAAGTCTCATCACTATCGTGCCCGGGATTCTTGTGCTCGAGAATTTTACTTTGGATTTGTCTGCCCTGATTGGTAACCCATATGTGTTGCGAAAGGCAAGGTGTGAGTTGCTTGCTCGGGATAAGGCTTGAGTTGCTTGCGCGGGACAAGGCTTTAGTTGCTTGCGCCGGACAAGGCTTCGATTTGTTTGCTCGGGGCAAGGCTTTGATTTGCTTGCTTGAGGCAATGCTTTTGTTTGTAGATCATCGAATTTAACTTTAACTGTAATATATTCCATTAACTGTCTTGGCACTCAGGCCTTATTGAAAGGAAAAAATTGACTTGGCACGTAGGTCGAAAAATAAACTTGGCACAAAGGCCGAAAAATAAACTTGGCACGAAGGCCTTATTGAAAGAAAAAAATTGACTTGGCACGTAGGCCTCATTTCTAAAACATGGTGGAGGGGGTTACTTGTAATATACTTTTATCGGCGTTCCATGACCTCGGGAGTGGTCTTCCTGAAGTGTCCCTCAAACTGTATGCACCTCCTGGGAGTTGTCGTATGACTTCAAAAGGTCTTTCCCAAACTGGTCCGAGTTTTCCCGGAGCATGACCAGCGGCTTCAGCCTTCCTCAACACCAAATCTCCAGCTCTGAATCTTCGCGGCCTTACCCTTTTATTGAAATACTTTGCTATTCTATCTTGGTAAGAGGCTATTCTTAAGGCTGCCTAGTCACGAACTTCTTCCAAGAGGTCGAGATGTTCAGTGGTGTGCCTTGCTTTTTCAAGATTAAGTCTTCTTTGGCTGGGGCTTTGATTCCAAAAGCTAACCTGAAGGGGGTCTCCCCGGTTGCAATCCTGTGGGATGTTCTATATGTCCAAAGTATGGAAGGCAATTCGTCGGACTAGGTACCTCTTGCATCTCCTATCCTTGTTCAGAGGTCTTGCAATATAATTCGATTGGTGACCTTGGCTAGGCCATTATTTTGGGGATGAGAAACTGAAGTCAGACAGTGGCCAACCCCTAGGTTGGAACAGAAATCCTTGAATTGTATATTGTTAAACTGCCGGCCATTATCAATTATGAGGACCTTTGGTATCCTGAACCTGCATATGATGGACTTCCAAACAAAAGCTCTTATCTTAGGCTCTGAGATCGTTACCAAGGTCTTGGCCTCAACCCACTTCGTAAAGTACTCCACTGCTACAACTACAAACTTCAATTGTCCTCTAGTTATTTGAAACGGGCCGAGGATATCGATTTCCCATTGCTCAAACAGGGTTGAGCAACTGATGTTGGTGAGGTCCTCTGCGGGAGAACGGATAACGTTGCCAAACCTCTGGCACTTATCACATTCCTTCACATATTCCACGGCATCTTTCTTCATGGTAGGCCAGTAATACTCGTACCTTATGAGTTTGAAGGCTAATGCCCGAGCTCCTTGATGGTTCCCGCATACTCCTTCATGAACTTCCTCTAGGGCTTGGGAGGATTCCGAATGCTTAAGGCACCTAATGTACGGAAGTGTGAGGCTTCTGCGAAACAAGACCCCATTAATAATGCAATATCTTGGAGCTTTTGACCGGACACTTCTTGATGCCCGAGGGTCTTCTAGAAGATTGCCATTTGTTGTGAGGTCCACAATTGGGTCCATCCATGATAGCTCGTGATCAATGTCCATGACCCCAACGGTTGTATTGATGCTAGGCTCAGTCACAAATCTGACATGTACTATTCTATCAAGTTCATCTATTCCCATGAATACCAGTCTTGATAAGGCATTTTCCTTGCAGTTGTCAGCCTGGGTAATCTTCACAATTTCACACCTCTTTAATTTTCGTCGGAGATCATGAACTTTTAAGCAGTATAAGCTCATTTTCTCGTTTTTCTTCTCAAACGTTTCATCAATCTGCCCCACCACCAGCTGGAAATCACTAAAAATTTTGATGTTTTCAAGTTCGAGATTTATGACAAGTTCCGTGGCTATGATGACAGCCTCATACTCCGCCTCATTGTTGGTTGCCTCGAATTCAAACTTGAAAGCACACTGAATGTCCATGAGCATGTCCGGGCTCGTTATGATGACCTCTGCGCCCGAGCCCGAAGAGTTTGATGCTCCATCCACGAAAATTTTCCAAACATCTGTTGTAGTGCTAGAGCTACCTTCTGGCCTCCGAGGCTTTGGGGTGAGTTTTGCGATAAAGTCCGCTAAAGCTTGGGCTTTGATGGACGGACGGGGCTTGAACTCTATGTCAAACTCCCCAATTTCAATTGCCCACTTTAGTAATTTGCCTGAGACGTCTGGCTTTTGAAGGATGTGTTTCAGAGGCTGATTGGTGAGCACAACAATCGGGTGAGACTGAAAATATTGTCGAAGCTTTCGTGCTGCCACTATTAGGGCAAAAGCCAGCTGATCAGCCAAAGTGTACCTGGTTTCCGCATCAAGTAGGACTTTACTCACATAGTAAATGGGTTGCTGGGCTCTATTGATCCCTTTTACTAAGATGCCGCTTATTGTATTTTGAGACACGGCAAGGTATAATAACAAAGTATCTCCGGGCTCAGGTTTAGTGAGGATTGGGGGAGATGCCAATGTCTGTTTGAGCTTCGAAAAAACCTTTTCACACTCCTCATTTCATTCAAAGGATTGGCTGCCTCTAAGAACTTTGAAGAAAGGGAAGCACCTATTTGCTGCTCGGGACATGAACCTGTTTAGGGCTGCTACTCTCCCTGTCAATTTTTGCACTTTTTTCTTAGTTCTGGGCGATTCCAATGTTGCCAAAGCCTGGATCTTATCGGGGTTGGCTTCTATCTCCTGATGGGTGATCATGAAGCTCAAAAATTTTCCCGAAGCTACACCGAATACACATTTTTTTAGGTTGAGTTTCATCCAATATTTTCGTAGAGTGGCGAACACCTCCTCCAGGTCAGAAATGTGCTGCTCTATACTCTTTACAACCATGTCGTCAACATAGGCTTCGATGTTCTTCCCTATCAAATCGGCGAAAACTTTGTTGATGAGCCTCTAATATGTCGCCCCAGCATTTTTCAACCCAAATGGCATCACCCAATAGCAATATATGGCTGAATCAGCCATGAATGAAATCTTCTCTTGGGCTTCTTCGGCCATGAGGATTTGGTGATACCCTGAGAATGCATCTAAGAAGCTGCACAGCTTATGTCCGGATGTGCTATCCACAAGATTGTCAATCCTGGTGGCGGGTAGCTGTCTTTAGGGCACGCCTTATTGAGATCGGTGAAGTCGATGCAGACCCTCCATTTACCACTGGCCTTCTTCACAAGGACAACATTAGCGAGCCAATCGGGGTATTGGACTTCCCTTATGAACCTCGCTTTTACCAGTTCGCCAACCTCTTCCTGAATGACCACATGTCTTTTCGACGCAAACTGCCTCTTCCTTTGCTTAACAGGCTTGGCCCCTGGGCTTATATTGAGTCTATGGACTGTTATTTCAGGGTCTATCCCTGGCATATTCTCGACCTTCCATTCAAAAACATCGATATTGCGGGACAGACAATTGATGATCTCCTCCCAGAGGCTGGGCTTGAGATCCCGACCAATAGTGACCGTTTTTTCTGTGCTCGAGCTCAAGCTCGACCACTTCCAATTCCTCAACCGTAGCAAGTCTATCCCTTGGCTCGAGCTCGAGCTCGAGCTCAAGGTTTGAAAGTTGCATGACGTCTGCACTCATTCCTCGAATGCTAGTAATATAGCACTGTCTAGCAGCTGTTTGGTCTCCTCGAACTACTCCGATGCCATGACCTGTTGGGAACTTCATGGCCAGGTAGAAAGTTGATACAAAGGCTTGGATCTTGTTCAGCAAGGGCCTTTCGAGAATGATGTTGTAGGTCATTGGGGTATTAACCACTTGGAATGGTGTGATCTCCATCACTTGTGTATTACCAAAACCTAATGTAAGCGGAAGCTCGACGATGTCCTCAGGGATAATGACTCCACCACCAAATCCCTGTAGAGGAGTTTTTACTGCTTTGAGCTGTTTAGGAGAGAGCCCTATTTTATTGAAAGCCTCATGTGATAGTATGTTTGCTTCACTTCCATTATCAATCAGAATCCTCTTTACTTCAAAGTTAACCATAATTGCAGAGACGACTAAGGCATCGTCATGAGGATATGATACTCTTTCCAAATCTCTTCCTCCAAAGGTAATGTCTTCGAGTTTATCACAGGATTCCTTTGAGGTATGAGTGTGTTGGTGGGCATATTGCTTTCGTCCATTATTTGTATCTCCTCCAGATGCTATGCCTCCAATGATAATATTAATGGTCCCGACAGTGGGTTGAGCACTGCTTCCGACTCCAGGCTCTTTTCGATTGTCACGATCATTCCTCGAGCGTTTATCATGACCAATGTAATTCCTTAAGAGTCCTCTTTTAATGAGAGATTCAATTTTCCGCTGCAAGGCTTGACAATCCTCCATGGAATGTCCATGATCTCGGTGAAATTCACAATACTTGCTCCTATCTCTTGTGTCAGGGGGCGACTTCATTCTTGAAGGCTACTTTAATTCTTTCATATCATTGATCGCCATTAAGATATTTGCCTTGAAGGTGTTTAATCGGGTGAGGGGTCCTGGTGGACCTTCATTCTTGCGCTTTTCTCGAGGATACTCTGGCCGGGAAACGGGATCATATTGTTTCTTGTTCTTGGTCTTTTCATGGAAAGGACCAGGTCTCCTTGGATTCAGTGTTTCCTCCATATTAATGTATTTTTCAGCTCGGGTGAGGAGCTCGATCACTATCTGCAGCGGGGTCTTTGATAAGGACATCTTGAAAGCTTCACATCTTATTGCGTAAGTGAGGGCGAAGACAGCCGCTGTGATGTGAAGGTCTGATATTTGAAGCCTTTCTTTGTTAAACCTTGTCATAAATCCTCGTAGGGTTTCATTTGGTCCTGACGAAGTTGCATGAGAGAGGCCGCGGTCTTTTTGATTCGCTTGCTACTTGCAAAGAAGGCTGAGAACTTATTAGCAAAATCTGAGAATGAGGCTATGAAGTTGGGCTCCAATGTTGAGAACCAATCCCTAGCAGCATTAGACAGCATTTACGGGAAGGCTTTGCACATAACCTGATCCGACGCAACTTGCAAATTCATGACATCAGTAGAGATGGTGGATGGGGTCAGTCGTCCCATCATATTTTTTAATGCGAGGATATTTGAATCTGTCGGACAAGGGATATGACAATATTTCTGGCGTGAATGGAGTGTTAGGGGTAAAACCCATTGGCCCCCGAGCATTTCGTTGCAGGCCAGCTGTAATTCCTTCTTGAATGATCCGAGAATCTCACCAAAATCCATTGCGACCGATCTCGAGCCGGATGCCATATTACGAATACCCAAGGTTTCTACTCCGCTAGTTACGGGTTTGGTGGTCGTGCTCAAGCATCAGCCATAAAACCACCATGCTCTGCTGCGCTGGTGACGGATGTGAATTTTTTTGACTTAACAGTTGCGTGAGCATGGCCACCTGCTGACAGAGCTTTTCAAAGGCTTCGGTTGTGATGACTGCTGACAGAGGTACGGGCACTCCTGACAACTCTTCTTGAGGAGCCGATTGATCTTCAGCAGGATGAGGGATGGGAGCGGATGAGCTTGTGGGAGGAAGACCTGATGGTGTGTTAACCATGGCTTTTGGTAGCGCTTCCCACAGACGGCGCCAATGATGCTATCAAAAGTCGTACCTGTTGATTTCCTGAGTTTGAGGATTTTGAATGAGCACGATCGTAGTCTTCCGATACCTGAAACAAAGGCAACGAGGTATGTTCTCGTCGCTCCTCCGATGCTTAAGTCAGAAAGTGAATTATATGCGTAAGGCTATAGCTCATGGTTCTGTATTTATAGAGGTGTATGGTGCTTTCCTGGTAGGATTCAACTATCTGGGTATCCTTATCCGATAGAGTCCCATGAGAAAGCAGTGTTTGGATCCTACTGTAATTAGAAGACCAATTGTTAAAAGGACTCTCTTGGACTTAGGAGATGTGGTTTGAAGTATTCGTGTCAAAAAAGAGTTCTTAGGGGATAGACCTTCTCCTTAGTACGAGGAAGATGGTAGTTGAGGACCTCAAGGGGATTTTCCCGAGCTATTATTCCCGAGGACATCCTGCATTCTGTGACAGTTATCAAGGTCGAGCACAAGTATCCCGAGGAACCAATACATCCCGAGAACTAATGACCGAAAATCGTAAGAAATGCCTTCGCAAATGGTCTGGGATGAAAGTGGTCAGGATACGCAGGAAATGTCAGTATCAGGAATGATTCTTTAATACCAGATCTTGAATATTGAATATTGGCTCTTTGATTCTTGAGTTGTTGATCGTGATTTTTTTTTTTTTTAATTGTAGATTGCCTGTTATTGATTGTGAATTTTTGGATCTTCCTTTTCAATATGATTTCTCTTGTATTCTTGTGCTCATAGGATGACACAAAAAATGAGAAGTTACATATGAATTGGGGACCATAACCTTTATATATATAGTTTCCATATTATTTTGTCCATCATGAAATATAATTTTAAAGGAAGTTGAAATTGAACGAGAACCGAGTTTTAAAAATCACAATTCAAAAATAAGATTAAAGGTTTACTTATTCATAAATCAGGTTGTAATCACACTTATTAATATTAATAACAATATTATTTAACTCTTTCTACCTTCTTTCTCCTCTGATCTCCTTTCTTTCTATACCATGTACAATCAAAATTAGAGTGACTGTGCACGACGAAATCGATAGACGACAATCGACCCAACAACGCTCAGTCTTGAATTTGGCCTCGCAGTAGAGATAAGTATCAAGCGGCACCTCTATTTTGGGAATGGGTTTCGTAGGGCAATTCTTTGCTGATAATCTAAAATGCAAAGAATGGTGGCAAGTGGGAACTACAGAAGTGTTAAGAAGAAATTAAACTTGAAGAAATGGTTTGTTAGAATTAAAGTGGAGGATCACACGAGGGCTAGGTTTCCAATTTGTTACCATTTGCCATTGATTTTTTGGGCTTTTGATTTTTGTTGATTTTGAGGATTACACAAGTGCTGGAGTTCCAATTATGAGACCATTGCCATTGATTTTCTGGGCTTCTGATTTAAGGAGCGTTGGGCTTTTGATTGTTGCATTTTCTGTGGGTTTTGTTGGTGATTGGTGTTACAATTAAAATCGTCGCTTCTCCCTCTATTTTGTTAGTTTTTATCAATGGTCGGTGTGGTGATGGCGTCAATGGCGGTGGAGTGGCTGCGTTTGCAAATAGTGGTGGTGTTGTTGACGATAGCCACATGTTCATAGAGTGTAAAATATGACATGTGACCTATGTAGTGTGGCTTGTGATCATAAATCAGTTATTTGTGACTAATTTTATTTAATTTGTGACACGTGATCATTAATCTATAACCTGTGCACGATGACTGTGACATAAGAACTAATAACATGTCCCCTTGTCTTTGTACATTTGCACAGGTTATAGTTCATAAGTCACAGGTTACAATTCACAGGTTACAGATCACCATTCACATGTCACATGTTTTTGTACACTAATAATAGGTCACAGATTCAAGATCACAAGTTACAGTTCATATATTATAGGTCACGCATAACAATTTACAGGTATATATCATTTTGCATAGATAGCAGATCGACGTCTACAAGTCAACGTTCTAAAGAGAATTGGTTACAGGTCATTGGATCAATAGCACATGTAACAGATCAATGTCCAAAGTTCACAAATCTAAGAGAACTAGTAACAGGCCATTAGATCAATATCACAAGTAACAGTTTACATGTTTAAATCTCACCATCAAAAATTTACAAATTTACATCGAATCTGATGATAAATCAAACATCTGAATCAATTTCCATCGATGCCAATCAATCATTCAAATTGAAGCTCAATAAGATAATCTATTAATTCTTGTCTATGTTTTGCTAAATTAAAAAATCCAAACAAGTCGCTACCCTTGATATACTATTTTTATGGATATTGAACCAGTTGGATGCAGATGGCTACGAGAGCAGATGATGACAGATGCATTCCCGATAACTATAGTTGGGCGAGTCTATAGAGAGACTGGAGTAGGTCGAGATATTGATATTAATATTTATTAATTACCATCCGAGTTTTGAATTTTTAAACTTTTTTCTTAAAATTTATTTGGGGTATAGTTAAGACCTGAGTTT